TTCCAGGCCATTTCCTCTGTTACAGATGGACACTAAAATGTTAAAGGTAGTTGTCTCAATTTGGGGTGATTTTTATTTTCTTCCTTTATACTTTTCATATTATTGGAATTTTTTCAACAAGCTTATGTTATTTATCTAATAAGGAATAAATCTGTTTTTCTCATGGCATTACAAAATTCACGTTAAACTATTAAAGGAAATCAGCCCCTTCCTTTTGGAGAAAATCACGAGAAACAACCTCTGGTGGTAATGTCAGAAAAGATGAGCTGGGTCATTAGCACACCGCTCTGTGGCAGCTCTTCCAGTCTTACATGGGGCAGTCAAATGGCAGCAGTACTCACTCACCAGTGGTGATTCAGAAACTCTTAACGCTGTTTCCTCATGTGTGTGCATCTCTCGAACTATTGCTACATCTATGGTAGTGCCTGGAATGTACTTTGCTATGTAGAGCTAGAGAAAATCCATGGAGGCAAGCGGGTAGCCTACTCACCTGGTTTCTCCCTTGGATATAAAGACTTCTGTTCATAGAAAGATAAGTGATGACATAGTTTGCAAGATGACTGAATCCATAAGAGGAGGAATGAAATTGGGTCTGACCTCTGTCGTCTTTGAGATTAACCCACACTCTAGGAACTCATGCCTTCAGTTGGCTTCATTAATTCATTCAATATATTTATCAAGTGACCCATAAGTATTGTGCTCAGTGCTTCAGGAATACATGATCAAGACAGGGTTCCAGTTTTCCAACAGTGTTCAGGAACATTCCAATCAAGGTCTAGGCTCTGGTTTATACTCTTGCCTTACTGTTTTACTCAATCTCAAAACTTTAACTCCAGATGGATCTGTTTTCCTATGCCTATGTGCCAATGGCAAATTATACATGCTTAGGATGGGATAAAGATTTATTGCTGGTTTGGTATCATTATGAAGATGTGGCCCTTTAAAGAACTGAGAAGTTTGTGTTTTAAAACCTGGCTTGGTGTCTGTTCAGTTTCCCTTTTTGGCTGCCCTGCAAAACCCAGTGCCTTTTGGCAGCGGGGCTCAGTCCCCAGGCTCAGGCCACTGTTCTTTTCCTGCCTCACATCAATATTTAGCTATGTCTCTGGATAGAATATTAGATGGCTTTTATCTTTGTACTTTTCTGTATTTGATTTTATGTTCTGCACCGTGTGCATTTTTGGTATGACCAGAAAAAAGTGAAAGTTATTTTATTATAAAAACACAGAACAAAACTTGATTGCTTCTTGTTCAGTTCCTTCAGGTTTCAGTAGGAGGAAGCCTGATGCAGCTTAAATATTAACCCAAGTAAAGCTTACTCTGCTTCTTTTCTGGGATGTATTTTCTTACCTCAGTCAGCATTAACTCCAGCCACCCAGCCTGCTAATTCATAAATCCTGGGTGTATCCTTCACACCCTTACACATACCCATACGAACACTATCTAATTCTGTCAATTGTCCCTCTAAACATCTCTCAAATATGCCCCTGTCTTTTCATCCCTCTCGCTACTGCCTTAGTTTAGGCCGTTGTCCCTCTCACGGGTATTACCAACTCACTCTTCTCATTGATCTCTCCACCTCCAGTTGTACCTCCCTCCTGTAGAGTCTCCTAAACCCTGACTCCCCTAATTAGCATATTTCACTGGCTCCCCACTGTCTATGAAAGTGTGAATCAGAACGTTTCCGCGTGGCCCACAAACTCATTAAGTCCCGACACCAGCTTTACCTCTTGTCACTTTAACAATACTCAACATAACTAAGCTCCCGCTTAATACTCCAGCCTCAACCTCATACCCCCTACTCACCATGCTCAAGCCTCCTAGCCTTCTGTTCCTCAAACAAGCCAAGCTTGTTCAGCATCAGGGCCTTCATAGCCATCGTCCTCAGTCTAGAATGTTCTTCCTCCCCATGGTTGGCCTGGCTGGTTCCTTCTGCTCATTTAGGTTTTAGTTCAGGTCACATCCTCAGAAAGTCTTTCCCTGACCACTCTGTTTTGTTTTCTTCTCAGCAGTTATCACTACCTGCAATTATCTTATTTACTTGTTTTATTACTTATCTTCTCCACTAGAAACATAAGCTTCTAAGTGCAGGAGCGTCTTCTCGTTTATTCACTGCTCTATTTCTAGCACCAAGAACACACGGTAGATATTTTTGAATTAATACATGTAACAGTGAAAATGTAAGTGGATTCTTGGTGCACATATAGGGTGGCCAGCAGAGTACAGAATTGAATCCCTCTGTTCCTATTGTTCTTTAACTGGTAGGAGGGGAGAAGGGATGGGATCCAACAGACCCTATTGCCAACCAGCTGGCAGAAGTAGCAGTCACAACTGTAGAAGAGGCAAAACTGGGCAGGCCTGCCAACGACAGCCGGCACTGAACTCAACTGACGGCTGAGGCCGGTTGCACTTTAGGGTGAGCAGTGCAGCCTGCTCTGGGAGGCCAGGGGAACGTGTACAAATCCACAGCAGTCGGTTCCAGTAACTCGGATTCAGTGTTCAGGGCATCCTGACCTGGAGAGGCGTGTCTGCCTGTCTAGAGCAGGGATCCAGCGATTAGCCGGGCCAGCTTAGCTCATCCAGGTTTGCAGGCTGTGGGTGCAACTCTTCGGTCTCTGCTCCTCTCTCATGCCCTCTTCACCCACCTCTACCCTAAATTCACCTACACCTCTGCCTTCGCAAAATCCAAGCGATTAACTGTTGTACCTAATCTATGTCCTAAATCTCTCGGGGTCATTTTTCCTTCGATTATGAAGTCCCAAGGACCTTTTAAATTACTTAATTGTCCCGTTGATTCCTGTATTTTTTTCTGTCTCCTTATCTAGTTCGAATGTTCCTGAAGGACGCAGACAAGCAAGGTCTGCAAAGCATGAAGCATTCCAAGACAAAGGCATGAGTCTTCTTGGAGAGCATATAAGCCAGCGATTCTAGCTTCCGGCTCGCAGGTCCATCTCGTTCCTAGACGCTCAGTGCAAACTGCAACGATCCACAGTTCCAGAAGCGGCTTCCGTGAGCCCGCAGAAGAGCCAGACTCCTCAGCTCACGCTACCACGCAGGGTGCCGTTTTGGACTCGCAGGAAGGTATCACGGTCCCGTTTCTGCCGCTGCGGGTGGAAATGGAAAGCAGGACGTCGCCGCCCGTGTCGAGGCCCGCGGGTGTTAGTACCCGCCGGCGCGAAACTTCCCCCTCAGGGCTCGCGGGCCGGCCGGGGCTCGACGTCCCAGGACGCGCGCGCGCGCGCCCGGGAAGGGGCGGGTCGCTGTGGGCGGTGGGCGGAGCCTGGCGGCCGCCGGGACCACCAATGAGCGCCTCAGCCGGCGCCGGCCGTGCGCGTGACGCAGCGGAGCGGGGAGGTTGGGGCGGGGGGGCCGGGCGGTCGTGCGCTTTATCTGCTCCGCGGCTGGGCGGCCGTCGCTGTGGGCCCTGGGCATCGGGAGTGCTGCCCGGAGCCGACTTTTCCGCCGGCCGCGCCGTGACGGCTTCCCGGACCTGCCCTCTTTGTGGGGGTCCCCGCAGCCTCGCCCGGGCCCCAGGTAACGGCTGTGCTCCCGCTCCCTCCCTCACCTCCCGCCTGGGTCCGCCCTCCTCAGCCCGAGAGGAGGGGAGCGAGGTGGTGGCCGCGACTCCGGCCCCGCCGGCCCGGCCTTGTCCGGGGCTGCCCCGCGGAGGAGGCGGCCCGCGGCCGGGGGAGGGGCGGCCCCGCGCGTCCCCGGGGAGTTCGGGAGGGCGGGAAAGTTCGCGCCAGGCGCCCGCGTGCTGGGCGGCCTTTTGACCGTGCGCGCGTGTCGGGTCCCCCAGTCTCGGGGCGTCTCTCGATCGGTAGTGAAGAAAGTGATGGAGTAGAAGACATTTTATTCTTTAAAAAGCGAAACCAAAAAGGCGCTGAGGAAGTCAGCTTCTTCATGATTTAGGAAAAAAGTGTGTGAGGGGAAGAATGGCACTGAGAATATGGGAAACCTTTAATCAAGCTCATGTTTTATTTTAAAATACCAGGATGTCGTTAAGTTTCTGTCGTTGTCCTTGACTATTAATAGCCGTGCAATTTGTGATCTGTGTAAATTCTCTATATTTACATATAGGTTAAGTTCCTTGGTCACTTTTTAATACTTAA